CTTAAAAATCACACCAAGCCCATGTATATGCGTACACCAAAATTTGAGAGGACAATGAAGGAGAAGGGTCTGCCCTGTGGCCATTACCCCGGAGGGAGATTTCTCACTTTCCCTCTCTCTGTCTCTCAAGCAAGAGCATGCTCCCTATGACGAAAACCTAAAATAATAATAATAATCCTCTAGTTCTCTACTGACTCAAACTCGCATGTAAAACAAATAAGCACCTACTGTCATTTTCTATGCATGCAAGTTACAGAGATATCTTTTAAATATTTATAGTCTTTGAATATTTGCAAACTTTGGTTATAAATTAGCCACAGGAGGGAAATACTATTTTTAAAGTTTAGTTTTTTCCCATGAGAGAGAGACACACAGAAATAGAAGAGAGGGGCTTCCGCAGTAGGAGATCTCACACTGCAACCCAGCCCAGCCTCAGGCAGCCTGGATCACAGGCACATGCATGCCTGGTGTGTCCAGGGAGATTCAGGACACAAACCGGAGACCTTTCAAGTGGCTTCAGCACTGTGGAGCATTGTGTTACTGCTACACCATAGCTGGTCAAAAATACTATTTCAAGGGGACCAGCAGTTAGTGTATTAGCTATGTTGCTGTACTCCCACGTAATCAACTGTGGTTTGAGTCCCGGACCCAGAGACAAACTCACGCTGGGCGCATGTGCATGTGTGCCCAAGATCCCAAGAGGAGAATGGAGGAGAAGGGATTGAAGTGTGGCCATCCCCCCCCCCCCCGGGGAGGTGATTTCTCACTTTCCGTCTCTCTGTCTCTCTCTTTCTGGCGAGCGTACACGCCCTATAGCAAAAACCTCTCAAAAAGAAAAAAATACGATTTCAAAGTTCAATTTAAAGAGCATTAATTGCCATCTTCTAACAGAATTCAAAAGTGAGTCGCATTTGATCCCAATTTAGGAAGCTCCTGATCTAGGGGAGAGTGCATGTCCCAGGTCATGAGGCAGGCATGTCTAGTCTAGTCTTGATCGATATTCCGTGGGTGCCATCTGACTTAATTAATTCCTTTCTTGTTCCAAAATCTATTAAAAGTTATATTTTAGGTAACTTGTTGTTTAGGGGGTTTATAGTTTTTTAACAAATTTTATTACATTTCTGAGAACTAAATATAAAGATAGAACCTGCTGTTTAACCCCCCTCAAAATAAATGTTAAAAACCACTACCCAGAAGCAATCTGTTTTACTGGCTCTAATGAGTCACCTCACTCCCAGCCAAATAGTCTAAAGAAAAATGTTTTAAGAAACATAATTTAAATGGTCTACTCATCTCACCCAGTCCTCTCCATGTGTGA